ATGTGTGCAGTGGCCAGATGCAACCAAGAGAGAATCAGAGATTAGGCAGGAGGGCCAAAGGGTAGGATTCTGTCAGCAACACTCAGTAATGTGAGGACATAAAGCCTAGGAGCTTGTTGCAGCACCACTGCTGAGGAAGTTAGGCCTTCAAGGCATGTTGGTTTGATAGCATAGACTGGGCATAACCCAGGAGGCCTCTCCAAAACATGGCCCAGGTGGGAATCAGGTCTACGGTCAGATAAGTACCACTTCTTACTTCAACTTTTTCTAGTGATTGCAAGACCCTTTGCTGTACAAGTTCCAGCTACAGCTGACTCCTTGTTTGCCCACTTCCAAGTAGAAAAAGTCACAAGCAGCAGCAGCAGCTGGCTCTTTAGGTCTATCAGCTCCAAGGAAGAGCTCAAATGATCCTTGCCTGCTCACTGGGTCACTTCCTTCAGCTAGGGAAGAGTGCTGGCTTACAATGGATGGCACAAGCAGAGTCTGTATCCATCTCTTGACACGACTTGTTAGTTAGAGCTCTAAAACCTGGGGAAATGGCCGCTGCTAAGGCCAGACACTTTTTGGTTATATCCACCACCCTGCCATGATATGTCGCTAGCTACACCCAATTTAAATGGGAGCATGCAACATATTTTAAGCAAGCAGCTCAGAAGCCTTGCATTGTCTCACCTGCCCGTACTCCCTCTCAATGGCAGATCGCTGCTTGCTGTAGGACCTGCAAGCAAGGAGAAGACAACGGCCCTGAATAACCACACAGCCCAATCTTCTTGCACAATCAGAATCTAAGGGCAAGGGAACAATCTCGCTCTCAAGATCTGCTGGGTGAAGAGCTCTGGGACTCAGCGGAAGCCCAGCTAGCATGCACCCAACTCCCCCTTGCAACTGTAACCTCAGAAACTGCACGGTGCTTTTAAAAAACAAGTTCAAAGTAGTAATAATTACGAAACAACAATTAGTGTGTCATACTTCCTGACAAAAAATTCCAGAGAAGACCTCAACTGAGCAGTTTTCCAAATAACCCAGCAGCTCACATTATTTTAACTCGCATGGCCTCCAGCAAAAAAAAGGGGGGGGACTACTGAGCAGCTGTTGTTTTCGTTGGCCCTGAGATGCCTCAGCCTTGCACAGTAATGGCTCAGGTTTGAGCACATGCTACTCAGAACCACTCTGCTTTGTCCAGTAATCCCCGCATTTTAAATATGAACCCCAGCACTGATCCATTGGAAGAGTCCCTGAAACATAACATGCTAACTTCAGGTACAGAATCAACACAAATGACTGCTGGATTTATGTAAGCAGGTGAACAACACTTCTAGCTTAAGGCTGATGCTCTTTACAGGCTAAGCCTCTCGGATAAGGAGCAGTAGGCTCTTGGAAGTTCATGGGTCACCCACTAGCAAGAGGTCAATCTCCATCCCTTGCTTTCTGATTCAATGTCTGTAAAGAGGAAGGCTGTCTTAGGCTGTTTAACAGGGGAGGGAAAGGGTAGCTTTTAGGCCTGTGGCGGAACCTGTTCAGGAGCTTGCCCAGTTCCCAATTTCAGTTTGTTACCTGATGTCCTCTAGGAGTTCCAGCTCCCGTTGTTGCTTGTTCTGAAGGCTCGACAGTTGCTCTATGAGGTGCACTTTCACTTCCTGGGTCAACTTAACCTGCAGAAGAAAGAGAGTTTGCACCTTATCAATGGCAATAGGCCCTCCTAAAGGGCAAGGAGCAGACAAGCATACACACCTGGAGCAGAAGGAAAAGGAGCCCCCTATTTTGCACAGGAATGGAACCTTAAGGCTACGAACCCAGAGGCAGTGGGAAGAGGACCAGCAGGACCCCAGTAACAGCTGCCCTCAGGGACCAGCAGTGGGCAGAAGCTCCAGGAGCTCAACCCACATGGAGCAGGTGTAGCAATAGCGTCTAGAAGCCCCTGGCTCAAATCTTGCTTGTCATAAACTCCGTAAGTAGCTTTGGGCAAGTCACGCTTCCTCTCAGTCTCTGCAAAAGGGTTGTTGCAAGGATGACAAGGTAGTGGATGCTAAGTGCTTTAAATACAAACGCTGGGAATTATGATGCATGGAAGAGTCTAAGAGGTTAGAGGGGGGGCCTCCATGTGGCTCCATACAGGCACTGTGGCACCTTCCACCAAGACCCCCTCCATCACCAGCCAAGCCCTTGCCCAATTTTTATATTAAACTAATGTTTGTTTGCTTTCTTGTGGGGGGGGGGTTTGCCCCTTCCCCTTCCTCTGTGTTTCATTTGTTCTGAGGTGTGCGTAGATGCCGCCCCCCCCCTCCCGCGTTGCCTGGGAGGAGCTTCTGCACATCTCCACGGTTTTCTCCTTCTGCGAAATGGGTCGTTTGTGGCGCCCGCAAGAGCTTATTGGCTTTCCAAATGTGCCCACAGGTTCCCAAAAGTTTGGGGGCCCCCCTAGTTTAGAGCCTGACGCGGCGCTGGCAAGGAAGCCGCCCGCTTCAAGGGCGCACGCCCTTTCAGACTAGGGGGCGGAGAGGGAGCGAGAGCGCGTCTCCGGGGCCCCGACTGTGCCCGGGTGCCAAGGAGGGCCCTCCTCCTCCGCGATCCCGGCACGCAGGGACTTACTTTGCGCGGCGGCGGCTGCATGGCGACGGGCTCCTGGGCGCCCCTTCGGCCGCCCTCGCGACCTCGGCAAGCGGGTCCAGAGCGCGGCTGCGGCGCGGAGGCGAGTCCGGAACTGCCGCGCCGCCCGGCTCGCCTGGCTCCGCCCGGCTCCGCAGAGCGCCGCCCGCCGCTTCCCACGGGGCGTTTTCTCGGGGCTTCGGCGACTGGAAGGAGGCGGTGGCGGGGCTGAGCGCTGCGCTGCCTTTCGGGAACGGGCTGCTGTTAATGGCAGGGGCCGCGCTCTTCTTATCGCAGGCTTTTAATAGATCTTATATATATATATATTGTTTATATTATTTATTTTAGAGCATCAGTACCCCGCTCTCCAGCCAAAAAGGCTCCCAAAGCAACTTCCATGACTATTATACGGTTTTTAATTGTTGATGTTTAGTTGTTCTAATGATTGTTTACCCCCCACCCCCCTAGGTTTTTAGCGGTTCTTATCTGTAAGCCTCATTGAGCCCTTGTCTGGGGGTGGGGAGCGGGGTATAAATTAATATATAATATTATAACATAGCATCATACGCAGCTGCCTCACTCCAAAGCAGGGGAATGTCCTGAAAAACGGTGCTTCTCTGCGCTTCTTTCAGGATGGGGAAGAGTTGGAGCAGACAGGTGAGAGGAAGGGAATCACGGCTGGGCTCATTGGAGCAAAGCAGGGCATTTGCCTTACAAAGGGGAAGTTACAAGCAAAAACAAACAAACAAAAATGTCCCCCCCCCAAAAAAAAAAATTCACCAAAAACCTTTAAACTATATTTCCTGCCCCCCCCCATTGTACTTCTGTTTAAACTTAGAGGGGCTCCTGGAGGCGTACCTGTCAACCTGTGGCTGACCAGTTCTACGTGCTGCTCAGCTAATCCCAACCCCAAAATATTGCTATGGCCAAGACATTCCATTTATTTATTTAATTTATTTATCAAATTTATATACCACCCTTGGCCTGGTAGATATTTCGAATCAGGAATCTGTGTTGTGATTGGGAAGTGACACCTACACAGCCAGGCCCTAAGAGCTGTTGACCGCGGACCCTGTTCTGGCTGCTGCCTCCTTGGTTTGACTTCTGGCAAGTCCCCTTGTTAGAGGGGGGAGGCACTGAGAACAGGCTGCTGGTCCACTTAATATTCCTCTACCTTATTCCACAGAGAATAAGCGGGGGGGGGGGGAGAGGCATATGTCTGGAATTTGGGGGGGGGGGTCCTTTGTGAACAGTCCTGCGAAGCACATTAAAGGCTAATCAAGTCAAGCTACACTTATGAAGGAGCAATCCCCAGGGAATGCAATCAGGTTTACTGCTGAGTAGTTATTGTGATATGAACCCACACTAGAGATTGTGACAGCAGCTCTGAAATGTGATAAAACCGGTGTGAACTGCAATGTTGGCTGTTCTTCATAAAGGAGGATGGTAAGGAGAGAACGGAGGCCACACAGCCTTTCTTCCAGCAGAGAAGCAACTGTGACAACAGGCACTCCTGAACCAAAGGAAGATGCTTTGTGCTAAATATTTGCATTGGCCACCTCCGACCTCACTGGTCCTGCCAGTTCCAATGTTCTCTGCCTGCTCTCTTGATCCCAACTGCATCTCCCAAAGCTTCTTTTCTGCCGTTGTATTACTTTTTAAAAGGCACACTATGGCTTTGAAGAGGTTTCCAAATAATTTTGGGCCATATCTGGCAAACAACTAGAGACCAGTTGTCAGATTCATTGTTTCCTAAGTAATTGCCCTTAGACCCACCCACCCACCACCACACCCCAGGCTGTACTGTGTGGGCTGGCAGTAATAGCCAAAATGGCATTGTCCTCCTTTTTATATGAGAAAATGATTCATGCCCAGCCTTGCCACTTGTGGCAGTTTAGCACCACCTCGTGGACAGATGTTATTTGTACAAATGCTCCTCTTTCATTTAGGTCGCTGACAAGGGAGGAGCTTTCTAATCTATCTGCTGGCATTTTGGTAAAGTTTCCACAAGTTGCAATACATCTCAGCTGCTTTGCGTTTCAACCTAGCAAGGGCTGACCAGCTGTCAAAGGAGGTGTGGGAAGTATTTGCCTTCAGCGACCATAAGAAAGCATTTCATAATCCGGCCAGGCAAAACCTTTATTAGAACCAAGCAAAGTGATGTAAAATTGTGGAAAGCTTTTGAGTTCCCCAGAACTCCAGTCTTTGATTTAACAAGGCCAGGTCCACCATCCCTCTGACCATATGTTGGGCCAGACTATATTTTGGAAAAAATAAAGAACAAATTCATATGCCCACAAATAAACCAGAGATGCATGTTAAATAAAAGGACACATTCTCCCAGACCATCCATGAGCCAGATTGAGAAGGTGATTGGGCCGGATCCGGTCCCCGGGCCTTAGGTTGCCTACCCCTGCTTTAACCTCAGCATAAGAGGACATGGGTGAGTCCCTTTAATGAGTTGAGTAAAAGGGCGCATTGGAACTGAAACAGATGTGATTGGATCTCCCACCTTTTTTACCCTTTAATGCAGCTGTGGGAGCTTCACATTTGTTTGGACTAGTGGTGCTGGAGGGGTGAGGGAGAGGTTAACCCCTCCCACAAAGCGACTATTAGCCCTGCAGCAGAAAAACACAGTGGAATTAATTGGTGTGTATGTGATTGAAAAACAGTATGAGAAAAAGTTTAAGACCCCCATCCGTTCTGCTTCAGTAAAATGTGCTTTCTGATGAACTTGCTATTGCCCCCCACCCCCGTGGAAAAATGCAGGTGTACTATATTTATTTCCTGATATAGGCTAAATAGCTGCTTGCTATGGTGAATGAACTATATCGCAAAAACAGTGCTGCTGGTCTGATAAAAATCAGAGCCTTTGTGGTTGCTTCAGTTAAAAATAAAGCAAAGCTGGAAGGGTTGTTCTTGCATTCTGGTTGCTTTTGAGGGGTTGCTTTTGGAGCGGGAAGAAGTGGCAGGGATTGCTTCTCTGCTCACCTAGTGGTCCATCCTCTTTGCTTGCTTGCTTGTTGCCTGCCAGCCATGTGGAGCTGGGGGTGTCCACTTGCTTCACTCCTTGAAGGGGTTCTGCGTGGAATTGGGAGAGATGCACTTGAGCAGAGAGATGAGAAATGCATGTGTAGTGTTGTGTTTGTATGAGAGAGAGCTGGAAGGGGGAGAGTCATGCGTATGGTCTGTGAGAGACAGACACGTATGTGAACAAGAAGTACAGATGGATGTGTGCTTTGAGAAAGGGAAAGATGCACTTGGGCAGAGAGGGAGAGGCATTTGTGAAGTGTGTGTGAGAGACGGTTCTCTCTCTCTCTCTCTCTCTCTCTGTGTGTGTGTGTGTGTGTGTGTGAGAGAGAGAGAGAGAGTGAGAGAGGGGGTGTGGTGTGGCCACCTTGTTTATTTTTCCTAATAGTGTGAAATAATTGCCATGTGATCTCCACAAGCAGGACATAGCTTATTTTCCACAATAAGCATGAGGTCTGGAAGGGGGAAACAGCAGTGCGTGTACCTGCTCTAATTGTGCTTTGCCCCAACGGCAGTCAATTTGTGACAGGCACTTTCCTCAAATTCAAAATGTGCCCACTGCTCCAAAAACTTTAAGGCGACCCCTGCATTAATCTATCTCTGTGTCACATCTTTTTTGGTCCTTGGTACTTAACATTCTGAAACCCTGTCTCTCCCCCTCCCCATTCTGAGAATTGATTCTCATCCTTGCACATGAGGATTCGTTTCTGATTTTCTGAGCAATAATGTAGTGTTATGTCAAACTTTGTTGATTTGGTGCTTTGTAGTAGTGATGGTATTGTTGTTCCACTTTTGTTAACATGTTTGGATCAGTTGTCCCCCTCTGTAGGCAGGTGTGTTATATAAGGCACACCTGCACAATTATCTGTTTTCTCACAAAGACAAGATAAGCAGAAAGTTTACAGGTTTTGCTTGTTCTTTATGTTCTTTATTAATTGTGTATGCCTCCTACAGTTATACTAAGAATTACCTTGAGGTGGTACAGATGGGTTAATAGTACATACCTACCTAGGCTCTCTTTACTTGCTTTCAATCTTCACCTTTGAAGCCAATAGTGAAGATCAGTATTTAGCTCAGAAAGTTACCATAATAAAGGACAAAAGTGGTAAGGACCTAACAGAAGCAGAAGACATCAAGAAGAGGTGGCAAGAATACACAGAGGAATTATACCAGAAAGATATGGATGTCTCGTACACCCCAGGTAGTGTGGTTGCTGACCTTGAGCCAGACATCCTGGAGAGTGAAGTCAAATGGGCCTTAGAAAGCACTGCAAATAACAAGGCCAGTGGAAGTGATGGTATTCCAGCTGAACTATTTAAAATTTTAAAAGATGATGCTGTTAAGGTGCTACACTCAATATGCCAGCAAATTTGGAAAACTCAGCAGTGGCCAGAAGATTGGAGAAGATCAGTCTACATCCCAGTCCCAAAGAAGGGCAGTGCCAAAGAATGCTCCAACTACCGCACAATTGCACTCATTTCACACGCTAGCAAGGTTATGCTTAAAATTCTACAAGGAAGGCTCAAGCAGTATGTGGATCGAGAACTCCCAGAAGTACAAGCTGGATTTAGAAGAGGCAGAGGAACCAGAGACCAAATTGCAAACATGCGCTGGATTATGGAGAAAGCTAGAGAGTTCCAGAAAGACATCTACTTCTGCTTCATTGACTATGCAAAAGCCTTTGACTGTGTAGACCACAGCAAACTGTGGCAAGTTCTTAAAGAAATGGGAGTGCCTGATCACCTCATCTGTCTCCTGAGAAATCTCTATGTGGGACAAGAAGCTACAGTTAGAACTGGATATGGAACAACTGATTGGTTCAAAATTGGGAAAGGAGTACGACAAGGCTGTATTTTGTCTCCCTGCTTATTTAATTTATATGCAGAATACATCATGCGAAAGGCTGGGCTGGATGAATCCCAAGCTGGAATTAAGATTGCCGGAAGAAATATCAATAACCTCAGATATGCAGATGACACAACCTTGATGGCAGAAAGTGAGGAGGAATTAAAGAACCTTTTAATGAGGGTGAAAGAGGAGAGCGCAAAATATGGTCTGAAGCTCAACATCAAAAAAACGAAGATCATGGCCACTGGTCCCATCACCTCCTGGCAAATAGAAGGGGAAGAAATGGAAGCAGTGAGAGATTTTACTTTCTTGGGCTCCATGATCACTGCAGATGGTGACAGCAGCCACGAAATTAAAAGACGCCTGCTTCTTGGGAGAAGGGCAATGACAGGCCTAGACAGCATCTTGAGAAGTAGAGACGTCACCTTGCCAACAAAGGTCCGTATAGTTAAAGCCATGGTTTTCCCAGTAGTGATGTATGGAAGTGAGAGCTGGACCATAAAGAAGGCTGATCGCCGAAGAATTGATGCTTTTGAATTATGGTGCTGGAGGAGACTCTTGAGAGTCCCATGGACTGCAAGAAGATCAAACACATCCATTCTTAAGGAAATCAGCCCTGAGTGCTCACTGGAAGGACAGATTGTAAAGCTGAGGCTCCAGTACTTTGGCCACCTCATGAGAAGAGAAGACTCCCTGGAGAAGACACTGATGCTGGGAAAGATGGAGGGCACAAGGAGAAGGGGGCGACAGAGGACGAGATGGTTGGATAGTGTTTTCGAGGTTACCAGCATGAGTTTGACCAAACTGCGGGAAGTAGTGGAGGACAGAGGTGCCTGGCGTGCTCTGGTCCATGGGGTCACGAAGAGTCGGACACGACTAAACAACAACAAAAAAAGTTATTGTGTGGGGGCGCGGGTGGCGCTGTGGGTAAAAGCCTCAGCGCCTAGGGCTTGCCGATCGAAAGGTCGCGGTTTGAATCCCCGCGGCGGGGTGCGCTCCCGTTGTTCGGTCCCAGCGCCTGCCAACCTAGCAGTTCGAAAGCACCTCCGAGTGCAAGTAGATAAATAGGGACCGCTTACAGGCGGGAAGGTAAACGGCGTTTCCGTGTGCGGCTCTGGCTTGCCAGAGCAGCGATGTCACGCTGGCCACGTGACCCGGAAGTGTCTCCGGACAGCGCTGGCCCCCGGCCTCTTGAGTGAGATGGGCGCACAACCCTAGAGTCTGTCAAGACTGGCCCGTATGGGCAGGGGTACCTTTACCTTTACCTTAAGTTATTGTGTGTATTTACACACTATATTGTGTGTATTTATACATAATACACATTACTCAACCTTTTCAATATTTAGGACTTTAGAGAGTTCACACTGACCCTTTGTGCTGCATATATTTTTCTGGGCTTTTGACGACAGTCTGAAATAAACCTCCCACTTTTATCGCACAACATAGAGCCTGTGTTGTTAGTTATTTGTAAATCTTCCAAAACCTTTTATGTAAGCAAGTTTAAGAATTTATTTCTAAATTTTATAACTTTGAATCCTAGGGAATGTGTAGAATATGTAAAGAGTTTCAACATACCCCTCCTGGTGTTAGGAGGAGGTGGCTACACAGTTCGCAATGTGGCCCGGTGCTGGTGAGTCTTCTGGAAACTTTTGTTGATAATGGGTTGGGGCTTTACCTTCCTTGGATATAAAATGGCACGGGTTTGTGTCATGCGAAAACTTCACTGTAGTCTGCTCTTCTTTTTAGGACTTATGAAACATCATTACTTGTAGATGAAGCAATTAGTGAGGAGCTTCCATATAGTGGTAAGTTGAGGACCTACATGTTAAAACATCACTGATGTCACTTGTAGCATATTTAGTTTCCCCAAGTTATTAGTATCAAGATAACTTAGGGGGATAGTTCAAAAGCAATGACAAGGCTTCATGGAGTAGCCGTTGCCACCAGTAGAACCTTGTTGCATGTGCTGGCCAGGGCAGGTGTGGTGTGTGGAGAAAAATGTCAGCTCTCACTATATCGGTGTCCAGGCCCTGGTTGGGCCCATTGTCATCATGTGACAGCAGCCCGGCTGATTTGGGTTCTAGCCCACCTCTACCCTGAAACACTCCATTTGGGGGTTACTATTGGCTGCTGCCAACAACGCTGCCAGTGGTAGCTTGTGCCCCTTGTTTGGGCAGATACAGTGGGGAAGCTCTTGCTGGTGGAACTGCCCTGCCAACAGAGGCAGTGTCTCTGGGTTGGGCTGGGTGCAGGGATATCTCCACCTCATCCAAATTCTCCAGCATGATTTGTTGGGGGGGTGGGGTTGGTTAATCTCTAATTCACCAACAGAATCTTTCAGATCCTTAAAGTCAGATCATCCTGACACCCTGGCACCAGCAAGAGCACTTTATTTGGAATTTAACACATTCCAGAGAGTCTGCATACACTCTAAGAGTAATCTTTGTTCCTTGACCTCGTTCTGTCTTGGAAGATAGACATTCCGATGTGCCTGCAAAGGGGAGGGAAGTGCCTGGCTCTATGGTCTGAGACAGGTAAACCTCCCAGGAAAGGAATTCAAAGGGGCCACGTGCCTGATACTGCCTTAAGAGAGAGAGAGAGCTATTTGTCAGCGTCTTTCTCCATAGCAGAGAACGACTGGCAGGCGAGGAGAGAGAAAAATAGCGCCGAAAGGATCTTGGAAGTTGTTTCTCCGAGCTCACATGCCCCCTTCTACCCTATTTTCCTATCTCTGCGCTCTCCTGGTTTCCAACCAACCGCCTTTTCCTCCCTCTGCTGCGGGCGAGGGAGCCGAGGGGGCGTGGCTGCGTCTCACGTGCGACGTCGCCGGCCGCGGTGGGCGTGGCGCTGTTTCCTGGGAGGCGGGCCACTGTGACGGAGGGCGGAGCCCGGCGGAGGCGGAGCTCGGCAGGCGCGGCTGCCCGGCCGTTGAGAGGTCCCGTCGGGTGGGCGTCGAGCGCCGGTGCTGTCAGGAGCCGCTCGCCCGCCTCGCTCTGCCGCTCGCCCGCTCGCTCCTTGACTGCGCCGGGGGAGGAGAGCCCAGCTGCCCCCGTCCTGGTCGCGGCGGCGGCGGCGAGGGGCGGACTTCGCGCCCCGCCATGGAGGGCGGCACTGGCGGCGGGGGACCCTCGCGCGGGACCGGCCGCGAGAGGAAGAAGAGCAAGGTCCCCGCCGACGAGGCCCCCGCGACGGCCGCGCCTGGAGGAGACCCCGGAGAAGGAGGCGCGAACTGCCATTTCTTACTTTTTTAGAATCAGTAGGCAAACTTCAGAAAGTCAAGTGAAAAATGAGGGTGGTGGTTAAGAACACAGTGTAACTCAGCTCTGTACAACAATTGCTCAAGAAGCCAGACCAGTCTTCAGTTTGCAGTTGAGAACAGACACAAAAGGGAAGAAAATGGACTAGGAATGGAGGTGGCTATGAGAAGTCATGGGATAAATGTTTTAATTGAGACTTGAGCCAGCCCAAGGAATATATGGTGCAAGAATTTTCCAGTAGCTGGGAATGGGGGAAGAGAGATGAAAGAGAGAGAGAGAGCTCTTCAGATTAGAAACAAGTTGGTATTATTACTATTAATAATAATAATATTTTTGTTACTCTGGCGTTTGCCTGTTCGCTTGAAAATGTCTGTACAGGGGGAGAGAAAGGGTTAATATGTAGACCAGTTGGAAAGCCAGAGGCAGAGCCTACCTGTTTATAAAAGTGCTTAGCCCGAGGTTTGGGTTGTGGGTATTTGGTTGGTTTTAGTGGGTTGGTTGGTTGGGAAAGGCAGTTGGAAAAGCAGTTGGCAGACAGTTGGAAATAGACAGTTAGTGCAGTTGGTTCTTGTGTGAGGGGAGGTAGAAGAGATAGAGACAGGATAAAATAAGACTAAGAAGGTAAAGAGTAACAACGTTTGGAATGCAGTTGAAGTTTATTTGTGTCTGCAATAAACTACACTCTTTGTTAACTTGAGAACCTGACTGAAACCAAGTGATTTACCGGGGAGGACCTGGTTGGTGGCAGCGGAATAGTGGTGTACGGGTCAATAGTCTGTGAGACGACCGGGGGCTCTGTACAAACTCCACAGTTACTATACCATTTTATCCTTTTTAAAACAAATAAAACAATCCAAAATAGAACATTTGTAGAAGAAAATCAAATATAAAGTGTACTTTCAAAGCAACAATGCTAGCACGAAACTAAAATATTATCTTAAAGATTTCAAATATAGAATGCACGATTAACAGAACAAAGTTAACAAACACACAAACAAAAAACTTAAACATTTCAAAATAAAACACTACTAGTAAAAGGTAAAGGTACCCCTGCCCGTACGGGCCAGTCTTGCCAGACTCTAGGGTTGTGCGCTCATCTCACTCTATAGGCCGGGAGCCAGTGCTGTCCGGAGACACTTCCGGGTCACGTGGCCAGCGTGACATCGCTGCTCTGGCGAGCCAGAGCCGCACACGGAAACACCGTTTACCTTCCCGCTGGTAAGCGGTCCCTATTTATCTACTTGCACCCGGGGGTGCTTTCGAACTGCTAGGTTGGCAGGCGCTGGGACCGAACGACAGGAGCGCACCCCGCCGCAGGGATTCGAACCGCCAACCTTTCGATCGGCAAGTCCTAGGTGCTGAGGCTTTAACCCACAGCGCCACCTGCGTCCCAAAAAAACACTACTAAAGGAGATCAAATATAAAAGACACATTTGAAACTGCATCATTGTCAAATAAATAAAATACTACCTTAAACATTAAACATTGCTGCTGCTGCTGCTGTTGCTGCTCAAGCTGGTTCATGGCAGGCGACTACTGCTGTGGAAGCTCAGGCTCCAAGACCTGGGTCACCACTGAGAAATCTGGTGCTGGGCAGAGAAACAGAGGGGCTCCATGGCGACACCAAGTGCCATGCCAAGTACTGTTGCACATGGTGCTTCGCCTCAGGAAGCCTTCCCCTTCTATATACCTGATGGAAAGGCAGATGATATTGCAGGGTCTCAGGCTGATGGCAGTCACCTGGAGCAGAGCTCAGCCACACCTTCCTTCCAGCCAACACGCAGCAGCAGCATGGAGGTTAAGAGGGGAGAAGAAAGCAATAAGAAAGTAAGAGAAGCAAGGGAGTAGAGCTATTTGAAAATAGGAACCATATTGTATTGGAAGGAAGGTAGTAGTAAGACGAAGCAAAGGGGAGAAGAAAAAAGGAGAAACTTGATCAGAACGAAGAGGCAGTGTAAATTAAACAAGGAGCAGAATTGAAGATAAGAGGGAAATGGTGTGAGGAATCTAATCTAAAATGTATATAGGTTTGTTGTTGTTGTTGTTTAGTCGTTTAGTCGTGTCCGACTCTTCGTGACCCCATGGACCAGAGCACGCCAGGCACTCCTGTCTTCCACTGCCTCCCACAGTTTGTTCAAACTCATGCTGAGCACATCAAAACTTTGAGGAGAGGAGAGATGAAGTGTAAATGAACTTCTAGATTAAGAGTGAGAAACCTCCGGTGTGATTACTCTCAGTTGAGATGCTCCCCTTCTTAAATTTGCACACTTATGGGATCTTCCCCACATCACTTTTGCACATGTCAGCTTTGGGGGGCTTGCCCCCCCCTTGCACCTATTTCCCAGGTTAGACAGTTGCCTTACTCTCCTCCTGTGGCATTGGCAACCTTTCTGTATGTGCATGCACTCAATGGGTGTGTCCCCCCCTTTTTTAGTTTGGAATTAAGACGATGCTTGAAACGGAGGAGGGGATCCTGCTTTTGGCAAGAGCCGTTGACCCCAAAGTCCCATCCATGATGATTGATGCTATCACGCTACTCTCTGCCCTCTGCATTCTGCCTCAGCCTGTGGATATGTAAGTGACTATGGGTGATTTATCTTTTGGTTTAGTTGTATTTCAAAGGTGGGCAGTCTAGCACTTGGGATCCTTTTCAAAATACATTAAAAACTGGAAGGCTACATCTGAATTGCAAGTTTTAATGTGCATGTAATCTGCACAACGGCCTGAAGCCTAAGAAGCACAGGCTGAACAAAGCTTGTGTAAGGTTTGGGGTCACCCCCACTTTGAAGCCCCACATCTTACTCCATATTGCTTAGGAGGGTTTTTGGTCCCCTAGATCCAAGGCAACATTGGTTCTTAACAGTTTTTAGAAATTTTAATACAGTAGATGCACAATTTATCAAACTCCTACATAGTTTTCTGTTGCGAGTGTATGGAAGTCAGACTGCCATCTTTAAATCACCTGGGAGTGCATCTCATTGAACTCATTGGGACTAGCAAGTAGACATGGCTAGCACTGCACTGTCAGATAATCTGTTACTGATTTGTTTTCCTTACTCTTACATAGGCATGAGCACGTTCTGGTGGCACTGACACAACGAGCAGAAATGGATGAAGTGGAACGATTCAAACCCATCTTGGATGGCCTGAAGAGTGACACCTCAGTGGCCTTAAAGGTAACAAGTAGGGCCTGCAGCAAAAAAGAATTTTCTGTACTTTTGCAGACCTCAAGCTTCTGCTGATACATTTTTATTATTTCTCAGTCCTCATTTTGTCCATATAGCCACTGGTACTTATGTCTTGAATTTGCTATTTATTTTACCAGCATCTTGGACTTTTTTGTGCTGCTTTGGTATGAGTTAAGAGTGAGTGAGTGTGTTTGTGTGTACACACACACACACTGCAGACAGCCTTAACTGGCAAACTTCTTAAAACTTCTTTGTCGGGTTTGCTTCAAGGGCTTTGCCTGCTATTTCCGAGAATGCTTGGCTAGATCTGACATGGAACCTCTCTTCATTATTTTCTTAGGTTGCCTGCCTACAGTTGATCAATGCCCTAATCATTCCAGGAGATGAACTTGACTTCAGAGTTCACATCCGCAGTGAGCTCATGCGTTCTGGACTCCAGCAGATCCTCAAGGTGAGGCGCATCTTTCTTTTCTGCTGCCAGGTGTTGCTGTTTTTAGGGACATCTGATCTCTAAGTGCTTTGTTTGAAGTGTGAAAGAAGTGAGAGTAGCTGTGGGTTGTCTTGAATATGCTGAAGATCTGAACTGGACCAGCAGTTTCCCCAAATGGCCAGGATTTGTAAGAATTTTTAACACTACCTTGTTTACAGTCCCTCAACTGAGTTTGCTTCAGCAGTTGCAGGGCTCAGTGAGATGTGGTCTTGCCTTCCTCTACACGTTCATTGTATGCGTGGAGGCAGATGTGAAGAGGACCATTGTGGAGCATGGTACTGTATTAATTCATTTGTGTCTGTTCTTGGATAGTTCCAGTTAATCACTGACCATGTGTTTGAAAGAGGGAAAGAACCAGTAGTTGGCCAGCAATAGGATATCCTCATAGAGTACAGAACTGGAACTCCAGAAATGAGGATGGTGATGACTTTAATGTTGTATCCTCTGTAGGAGCTGCATACTCAAGACAATGAGGAACTGCTGGTGCACCTGTTGCTATTTGAAGAATATGCTGAAGAAGATTCTGCAGAACTCAAAAACCGCTTTGAGGAGATTCGCATTGAAATGGAATATCCTTCTTCTGAGTAGCTAGAAGAGAGATGTGCTAATTTTAGATTATAAGCTTCTTGGGGCAGGGATCTATCCACTTATACTTTGTGAAGTGCCATACATATTACAAGCATTTCATACATATTACAGGCATTTAACTTTTAACATTTTGTTCTGGCCTGCTTCCATGTTTCGTCAGAACAGCTAATCAATATGGCATTGTGCCCCAAACCTGCATCCACTCTCTGTTCAGGTTAAGATGAAGCCTTTGACATATAACTTCCACACCATACCATCCAGAGACTAACGGATTGGTTGAGAAGTTTAATGGAAGTTTGATCCATATGATCAAAGCCTACGTAGGAGAAAACCCTACTGACTGGGACTGCTAATTACAACTCTTCTTGTATGCATCCCGAGACATTCCACAAGAGAGTACCTGGTATAGTCCATTTGAACTTTTACTAGGGTGCAAGGTCAATGGACCTTTAGATCTACTCCGAAAGAATTGGGAGGATCACCCAGATAGTGATTCAGATTCAGAGATGGAATATCTGTACAAACTGCAAAACACTTTACGCCATTCATTAGAAATATCAGGAGAAAATTTAAAAGCTGCCCATTCAAAGCAAAAAATCTGGTATGATAAAAAGGCCAGAGAGAGAACCTTTGCGCCAGAAGATGAATTGTTGCTGCTAAGGCCAATAAAGGGAAATAAATTGCAATTAGCCTGGGAGAGATCGTACAAGATTGTGTCCAAAATGAATAACGTGAACTACATTATCCAGCAGGGGGACGAAGGGCGCAAAGTGGTTCACGTGAACATGCTAAAACCCTACCATAGAACAGATAGCTGGGCTCTATATGCTATAAGAGAGGACTCGGAAGAAACAGACGACATACTATGCTGGGAAGGGAGAGGGGAGCAATGTTGTAATCAGAGAGAAGTGAATCTAGCTCCTTCATTAACCCAGTCACAGCGGGAGGAGGTAGGAAGTATCCTACAAAAATATAAAGCCATCTTTAGTAATGTTCTGGGAATAGCGAAGTCCATTGCATAGACACTGGGGGTGCTAAACCCATTGCAGTGACCCCTTATCTGATAACTGGGACTTACATGGATAAAATCCGCAACGAGGTGCAGGAGATGCTGAAGGCAGGGATCATAAGAGAATCCCTGGGCAGCACCGGTAGTGCTGGTAGACAAACCTGATGGCTTTATAAGATTTTGTGTTGACTACCGAAAGTTGAATCACGTCACTAGGGCGGATGCCTATCTAATGCCCTGCTTAGATGACCTAATTGAGACCATAAGCAGGTGCTATTTCATTACCTGTCTAGACTTCACAGAAGACTATTATCAAGTAAGAATGTCCTGGGGACCAGGAAAAACTGCCTTTAGAAGTCCCCTAGGATTATATGAGTTTAAAGTGATGGCCTTTGGACTAAAAAATGCGCCAGCGACCTTTCAAAGGCCAGTGGATAAGATCCTGCATGGATTAAGGGAGTTTACAGTAGCTTACCTGGATGATATTGCAATTTTTAGTCAAACCTGGTCTGAACACAAAGAGCCCCTAGAGTTAGTGCTGCAAAGAATTAAAAAGGCGGACTTGACCATTAAGGCTAGTAAATGTCAGATTGGGGACTCAGAAATCAAGTACCTTGGACTTATGGTGGGTGGAGGAATAATAAAGCCTTTAGAGACCAAGGTGGAGGCAATTACGAACTGCCCTACTCCTATGTCAAAAAAGAAAGTGAGAGCATTTTTAGGTTTCACAGGGTATTATCGAAAATTTATCCCTAAGTTCAGTGAACTGGCTGCACCACTGACCGACTTGACTCGCAAGAAAGAACCGGAGCGTGTTGAGTGGACATCAGTGTGCCAGCAGTCATTTGATGCGCTAAAGAATGCCTTGACTACCGGACCAGTTCTCGTCGCAACAAACTACGACATAAGAGTTCACCATCTTTACAGATGCGCTGAATGCTGGGATTGGAGCCATGCTGTGTTAACCGGGAGAGGAAAACAACCTGCATCTGATCAGGTACCCAGAGAGAAACACCTTTCCATGATAGAAAATGAATGTTTTGCTATTGTCTAGTCCCTACAGAAGTTAAAACCATACATCTGGGGCCAGAAATTTATACTGTGCACCGATCATTCACCCTTGCTTTGGATGTTGAGAACTAATAGCAAACTGATGAGGCGGGCCCTGTTCCTGCAGGACTTCAATTTCACCATAAGAAGCGTGAAAGGGTCCCTGAACATTGTGGCTGATGCTTTATCAAGAGACCTGATGGTGAAGGTTAACCATGGACAGTTAATAATTTTTCCTGTAGATAACTGAGTTGTTTTAAATGTCTAATGCAGTTTGATCAGGAGTGTAACTCTGTTCAGTTATCCCTCCTGATCAAACTTCTTTAAGGGGGGAGGGATGTGGTGTTTGCCTGTTTGTTTGAAAATGTCTGTACAGGGAGAGAGAAAGGGTTAATATGTAGACCAATAGGAAAGCCGGAGGTGGAGCCTACCTGTTTATGAAAGGGTTTAGCCTGAGGTTTGGGTGTGGGTAGTTTGTTGGTTTTAGTGGGTAGTTGGTTCGTTTTAGTGTGTTGGTTGGTTGGGAAAGGCAGTTGGAAAAGCAGTTGGCAGAGAGTTGGAAATAGAGAGACAGTGCAGTTGGTTCTTGTGTGAGGGGAAGTGGTAGAGATAGAGACAGGAAAAAATAAGACTAAGAAGGTAAAGAGTAACAACGTTTGGAATGCAGTTAAAGTTTGTGTCTGCAATAAACTACACTCTTCTTTGTTAACTTGAGAACCTGACTGAGACTAAGTGATTTACCGGGGAGAACCTGGTTGGTGGCAGCAGATTAGTGGTGTACGGGTCAATAGTCCGTGAGACGACCGGGGGCTCCGTACGAATGCCACAGCAGCCCTTTAAAAATATGAAAATAGGGTAAACATATGCTCCCTGTGCATTTATTTATTCACCTCTGATCAATTGTTCGCTTTGGGGAATATGTATATACAGTGATACCTCGGGTTAAGTACTTAATTCGTTCCGGAGGTCTGTTCTTAACCTGAAACTGTTCTTAACCTGAAGCACCACTTTAGCTAATGGGGTCTCCTGTGCCGCCAGAGCACAATTTCTGTTCTCATCCTGAAGCAAAGTTCTTAACCTGAGGTACTATTTCTGGGTTAGCGGAGTCTGTAACCTGAAGCGTATGTAACCCGAGGTAAAAAGGTAAAGGTAAAGGGTACCACTGTATATTAATTGTTAAGTGGCCAGGTCCTAAGAGCAGAGTTGAATGCCTCATAGCTCTTATCTCTTTCCTACCCATAATATGGCATCTGCTGTTCAGGATGTCCAGCTTGCCTCTTTGGAAACAAGCTCTCACCTGGCTGGATTTTGAATTTTGTGCCATGTTGACTTCAGCTGGCAGATGAGAGTCCTCCTTTTGTTGAATGTTGGAAAGGACGTGTTGAATATAAACTAAATGTAATGTTATTTTTTAACACTTGTTATATGTAGCCGATGTGTGTTTCTTTCAAACTTTGTCCTCTCTCAAATTACCCTGTTACTTCCCTTAATACACTTCTTTCCTACTTTATAATATATTGGGAAGTGGCTTCACTTTCATAAATATTTAGATTTGATTCCAATGATTTCAAGTTCGCTGCCTGGCTCATAAATGAATCTGAGAGTCAGATTTGATGTTACCATTGGGAAAGCCACAACTAAAAAAAAAAAAACAGCAGTAGGGATGGGTGGGTATTTAAAGCTCCCAGCATTTTCCTGATTTAAAAAACTTCCACGATGCTTTTTGTCCCACAGGGCAAAACCTAGAGATGCGTAGCTGCATGTTTTGCTGCCTAGGGCAAAAAGGGAAGGGAAATTTTATCAGGAAAATGGCACATGTCCCAGTAGTGATCCAAATCATTTGAGGTTTCTACGCAGAGGTTGGATGGTCATCTGTTATAGATGCTTTAACTGAGATTCCTGCATAGCAGGGGGTTGGACTAGATGACTAATTCTATGATTCTATGAAGTTCAGATGTCCAACTGAGAAGAGTGAAGTGTGTAGTCTTGAGACATTTCCTCAGAGTTTCACCCAGTCACCATCACCACCTCAGAAGTGGTTTACTGCATTCCCTTCACCAATCTTCAAGCAGTTGTGGCTCATTTACTTGTCTCCAATACGGTATGAACAAACCTTTGGCTCTCATATCTACCGTGCACATTAATCAGTTCTGTTCCAGATAACTCAGCATAAACAAACTCTCTTGCTCTCTGTTGTACAAAATTCATTTATTCCAAGTGGCAGTATGAATATTGCTGGAAATGCTCAGGATTTCCTTACCTTTTCAAGAACATTTATTCCCTGTGCAGGCCTGTCTAAACAGAAATATATGGCCACGCCATCCAAATTTTGCACCATGAACAGCTGAAGTCTGTGACATGTTCAGATTATCACAGGACATACTCAGCCACCTATTTGACTTCTATGATTTCATTCAGGCATTGCACATAGGCAGGCAGGAGTATATTCTTAGCATGAGGGCTAGAAACTTGTAAAAATGAAAGCTGAGGTTCCCAGGAACCTGAATCCTGCACGCAGCACCACATTCTGCACGTGGATATGAGCTGGAGCTGAGGGGGGCACCACCCTTGCCTTAGTAAATATCACCCCACCTTGCTTTCCACCACGCTTCCTCTCTAGAAGTGGCTGGGAACTCTAAGGATAAAATAGTTCGAGAGGAGGAGAGGATTTCTTAATGCAACACTTCCAGGCAGGGTATTTGGTTCTACCCATCACAGGCAGAGACGTGATGCAGACCAGCAGCCTCCCGCGACTCATGTCATGCTCAGGACTGCGCTGAGCCTAGTTCCAGTTTAAGGGATCTCAGTCCTCAGATCCCGTGACCCTTCCAGCTGTGCCTGTGCCCCATCCCGGGGGTTCTGCCTCCCCACTGTGGCAGGTGCCTGGCACTCGTTCTTCCGGAGGATGGCAGAACTCAGCTCCTGCATGAGTTTGTCACTGATGGACAAGTCTGACTGGAAGCTTTTCTTCCTGGGGGCACCAACTTGAGGCTCCTCTCCCATTGGAGGTTCTGGAGGGGAGGCAGGTGCCTCTATTGACTGCCCCTGTTCCCAGTCTGGGGCAGGCGGCCCTTGAGGCAACTCAGTCATTCTCTCTACAGCGGCACTTGGGGCCACACTGTGTCCTGGGAGCTTATCTAGGAGGAGGTCCTTCCCCTCCTCCAGCCTGAGGGTCCTCTCAAAGCAGCATCCTTTTGCCACGTTGATTCCAGATGTCCTGGGGGCTGGGCAGGGGGGCAGTGAGCTGGATACTGCCTGCTCTGAGCATGGAACTGGCTTCTTGGTTCGGTCCACAGGAGGCAGCAGGGACTGTTGGAGCTCCAGAAAGCCCATGTCGGCAAAGTTTCCCACCTCCTCATAGACAGGCTCAGACTCAGCCGCCTCCTGCTGCTCCTCTAGTGAATCCTGATGCATTTTCATTGGCTGTGAGGAGTCAAGGCAAAAGGAGGACATTAATGGATTTGCCATTGCTTGGGCTCGAGGCAGAAAGAAACATTCCACAATTGTTCTGAGCAGGGGTTGCCTGTCCTGTTTTTCCGCTTGAGGCAAAACAGGAAGGTTCCATCTCCACCACCGCTGAGCCTCATTTACTGGGGTTGTGCAGTGGTTTCCAGCAAAATCTCACCGGAAGCCACTGTTGCTTCTGCAGTGGTAGTGGCAGCAGGAGCAGGTGGGACACCCATGGGGACACTGCCTCATGGGATTCTGCCACTGAGGTGGCTGCCTCAGTCTGCCTCAAGGTTGGGTTGGCCCTGGTTCTGCAATTTTAGGTCTCTGCAGCCTGGACCAATAACCTAATTGCCTGAGGCTCAGGCCTAGTCTAGTAAGCTACCCAGGACTATGTGTGCCCTCACACAAATCCTAGAAGTCTGGCCTCCTGCCCTGGTTTGGCTCTGACACTGCAGGTGTGAGTGTCTAATAGGCCTCAACTACAAGTCAAGGCCCAGGCTGCCACCCTTCCTTCTCCTTGCCATAGCAGACGGCAGTCCTGGGTGAGGCTAGAGGCAACTAAGCTTGTCAGTGGCTCACACTTTGTTTGGCATGCATGGGCAATGTTCAAGTTTTCTGAAAAGGCTCAGGGGAGACAGCTTGGCTATTCTCCATTCTGGGATGGCCCAGATCCAACCGGGTTTGAAAGAGGGAGCGCTTGCCCACTCCACAGACATTCTGCAGCACCACGGCCCGGATTCCTCCTTGGCTTGGAGCCGAGATGCATAAAACGGTGAATGAAAATGGATCAGAGGAAGATCAAACCAAAGAATGCACAGATCCTTTGAAGGAAAATACCGATCAAGGTCTGCCAGAACGTGAGAGTGAAATAGTAAAGTGGGAGGCAACAGATGATGAAATGGAGGGGACCTCTTTTTCATTATCGTTTGCTTCCTGTTTTTGCTTTTTTTTCTTTTATCTACTACGCTTTTGCTTTGTTTTTTGTTTGATGTCCTCTTCTCTGGGTTAATGAGGGTACCCACAGGAAGGTGATGGCTGGCTGATGAAAGACCCTGTGCAAGAGGCAGAGAAGGGAAGGTCTCCCAGGCTGGGAGGCTGGGAGAAGAAGAAAGGGAAGCTCCCAGGTGAGAGCTGGGAGGGTTCACCCTGTTCTGTGTGAGACAAGGGTTCAAGATCTACCTCTGAGAGAAAGCTTTGTCTCTCCCCCCCCGCTATTAACAGTGTAAGGGATACAGGATAAGTATGTAATACTGTAAATGCATAGGTACTTACAAAAAACATGGACAATGTCCTTCGTGTGTGCAGGCGGTGCTGCAAACAAGAGGAATAAAAGTGGTCAGATGATGCAATTCACACCATAAGCAGACAAGAAGGAAGAGCAGATTAATCAGTCTTGGTTATAACTTGGAAAGCTTAGCAGAGATCCAGAGGTTGGGGTCGTTGGGTTTTATTTTTGTACCACCCCGTTTTTCCTTTGGAGAAAAAGTGAGAGGGGCAAAGTATGCCTCATCCTCTTCTCAGAAGGTTCTGCTGTTGCTCTTTCTGGGCATGCAGTTTCCACCTACAATCCAGAAAGCACCAGAAGAATAAGTCATGAGGAGGCCCTCCAGCCCACAAGGTGAAGGGGCTGGTGGCTCCTCAACCAGTTAAGAGATCTGCTTAAGGTGAACACCAATTCAGATTTATTGGCTGAGAAGAGCTTTATTAGAAGCAATATGTTGGTTGCTTCATTGCCAATTGTTCTTCTAAGACAGAGGCCCTGGCTCCATGGACGAGGCTGGGGAGGTTTACTCATGAGCAAAGACAGTGTCCTCAATAAAGCACATTCAGACATCATGTGGGAATTAATTCCCCTTGTAATGAGGAAGTGACTCTCCCATAACTGCAGCTAAACACAGAAATAGATCACCCACCAATTACTCTTCCCGGGCTCTGGCACGAACTGTACCACTTTCTTAAGGCATACAACCAGCAGAAGGAAATGCTTTACATTTGAGCACAGGGATTGTAAAGCTGCGCATGCTTTGCAGTTTGCTCTTGTTTCATGGAAGAGCAGGGCTTCAGCAGGAGCCAGGTCATGCAGCCTTACCAGGGTCTGGTTAGCAGAGAGCATGGTGGGATTGGTGCTGTCTCCCCGTAGAGGGATCAGGGGCATGGTGCCAAACTTCTGCTTGGATAGGTCAGAAGATGAGCGCCGACGCAGGATGACCGGGCGGAGGCTGTCATGCTAAAGGAAGGGAAGTCAACAAGTTCATT